ATAGAATGGAGACAATCAACCTCTGAGGAGGGCTATGGGAAAGACCAAAATAGGCAAGGCTGATGAGGCCCAAATGCTCAGCATCATGCTGCAGAGAGAAGAGCTCAGCAAATGGCTGTCATGAGGAATGACAAGGGTGAATTCTGGTTGTTGCACAGGTTGAAAATCAGTAATGTCCACATCTTGAATTTCAAAGCCGAACCAACTCCTGATGGCCAAGGCGTTCAACTGAGGTTCCCCACATCTGCTGATGTCTCCTTGACCCTGTGAGTATGCATTAGAAGCTGGGAATTGGGGCAGGGGGGCAGTGCAGCACAGCCAATGGTCCTCCAAGCTAGAACCAGGCACTTTTCCACACCACTTAGTGGCCTTGGGCCTCAGTCTCCCCATCTGTAAATAAGGGAGCTTTTCTAGCTCTAAAATCCTAACCTTTAAAAAGTTCTAATAAACTTTGGCCATAACCAAGTCTCCCTTAAAAGAATTCTCCATTAAATATATTTCTGGAATTATAACATTTATCTAATAGTAAAATTTGCAAAAATAAATAGGTCAAACATTAACGAGTCTTTGGCAAAATTTTCTCTAGCATTATTTTGTCTCTCAAGATTCTCTTTAAATAGCAGTGACCATTACAGATAAATGCATATAATAGTGTATAGCTTATAATAAAGGGAATATGTGAAAAATAAAATTTTATTTTTTTAATTTATTTTTTATTGAACTTATTGGGGTTACATTGGCAAATAAAATTATATAAGTTTCAAGTATACAATTCTACAATACATCATCTGCACATTGCATGGTACGCTCACCATCCAAAGTCTAGTCTCCTTCCATCACCATTTATCCCCTCTTTACTCTCTTCTGCCTCCCCGAAGCCCCTTTCCCTCTGGTAATCACCATACTGTTATCTGTTTCCATGAGTTTTGGGTGTTGTTTTTTTTTGCTTAATCCCTTCACCTATTTTACCCAACCCTCAAGCCCCCTTCCCTCTAACAGCCAGTCTGTTCTATGAATCTGTTTCTATTTTGTTTATTTTTTTTTCATTACAATCCACAAATACATGAAAGCATATGGTAGAAGAATATAATTTTAAAGTATATTAATTACTTTAAAAGAAATAGATGTGGATAAATCTTTATAAATTGAGTACACTGTCAATTCATCATGCATTAGCTATGAGATCTTAGGATAGTTACTTAACCTCTCTATATCAATGCTTCCTCATTCTGAAATAACAATAATAATAATAGTAGTTTCCCTTATGGTATTGCTGTAATAATTAGATGGATTAATCCAGTTAAAATACCTTCTAAAAGTGCCTAACATAATTTGTGCTCAATAAATGTTACCTATTATTATTATTATTATTATTATTATTTTAATTATTAGTGTGCTGCTACCTCGGAGACCAGGAGAAGAAGCCCTAATGCAAATATGTTATATCCCATAAAGAATGTGGACAATGATGACATTCTCCATAGACAATGATGACATTCTCCGCACAGGTGGAGGAACCGAGTGGGCAATGTGAAAGGTCTTCTAGACGTCTTCTCACTGTGAGTCTCATTGTCTGCAGGCCTCTCATTGGGCAGGCAGTCCACCTGAACGTTACCTTGGACCTCCTGGCTACTGTCGAAGTTGAAACTGATCCCAACAGTGGTGACTCCAGAGTGGTCTTGACAGATTGCGCCAGCGACCCAGACAGCATCTCATTCACCTTGTTGGGCGAGTAAGTCCCATCCATCTCAAGTGAGGTGGGCTCTCAGAGGAGCGAAGGACCCTAATTTCAGCCCTCTTCCTGCCCCTGGGAGATGGCACAATGTGGTGAAAAAGGGTTTAGGCTCTGCAGTCAGACAGGCCTTGGTTCAAATACCAGCTTTGTCACTAACTTGTAACTTTGCCATCGACTTAACCTCTCTGAGCCCTGGGATGCAATTCAGAGCTCTGAGCCCTGCTGGACACTGCTTTGCCTGTAGCCCCAGGGAATTCCTCCTGCCTCTGGGTCTCAGTGTCCAAATCTATAGACTGGCTTCCCACTCTGCTGCTCCAAATCCTCTCAGGACTTTTCTTTCTGCTTTGGATGGAATCCCAAACCCTCCCCATGGCCATGTAGGCTCTGCCTGACCGGCCCCACCCTCATCTCACTTCACTCTCTCCTTGTTCTCTCCTGGCAAACACACTGGACTTTGCTCTGTCCCTCTTTCCCAGCTCCAGACCTGTGCAGGGCTGTCCTTGCTACCTCCTCCCCTTCCCCGCCCCCACCCCTCGCCTCCCAATCTCACCTCAATGGACTCTCATCCTTCAGCGTCTAAAACAGGTTTCCTCCTCTCAAAAGTGCCTACTCCCACCCTTCAGAGTACTTATCACAAGTTGTCATCATACATTTAATTGTATGTTTACTTCATTCATTCTTTCAGCTTAATAGTGTCTTGAGCACCTACTATGTGCCAGACAGGCAGTGTTCTGAGCTCTGGAGAACTTACTGATGAGAACAGACAAGGACCCTGCTGTTGTGCTTTTTGTCCGGATGGAAAGGCAGATAGGCGAGCATTCAGCCCCTTAATAAAGAGCTCTCAAGGAAGATGTCAGATGGCATAAGCCCTGGGCAGAGCAGCACACTTATCAGGGAACCATAATACAAAGCCCTTCCTTAGGGGAGTAGTCAGAGGGGGCTGCCCTGAGGAGGTGGGAAGGTGGGAAGGAGCCAGCCTTAGCAAGACTTGTTTAATGTTTGGGTACCAGCTTAAGAGCTGTTTGTGCTTTGCTCATCCTATGTCCCAGTCTAGCTTGGTCCTTGGACATCGTTGCTGTGCTATAATATTTGTTGAATGAAGGGGGTTGTGATGAGATTCTCATGAGGCATTGGGGGGAGTCGCTGGTCAGACATCCTATCTAAAAAAGGGGTAATATGCAAATAGACCGAATGGCAGAACAACCAAACAACCAATCAAAGCATAATATGCTAATGATGTGCTAAGGCTGTTCAACCATTCACTATGATGTGCACTGACCACCAGGGTGCAGATGCTCCAACCTGTAGGTTAGCTTGCTGCTGGGGTCTGGCCAATCAGGATTGAGTGAGACAGGCCGGACACGCTCTGGAGCCCTCCCGCGGTCCCTCCCCAGCTGGCCAACCTCCTGTGTCCCTCCCTGGCCCCGATTGTGCACTGATGGGGTCCCTCGGCCTGGCCTGCGCCCTCTTGCAATCCGGGGCCCCTTGTGGGATGTCAGAGAGCCGGTTTCAGCCAGATCCTGCAGGCCACTTCCCTTAGGAAGACGCCAGACATAGGGCTCATGGCTGGCAAGCGCTGCTGCAGCAGCACGAGCCTCTCCCAATAGGGACTGATTGGGTGCGAGCCTGGGGCAGGCACAGTGGGGCCAGGATGAGCAGGAGTGGCAGGTAGGAGCTGCAGGCAGCGTTGGACTGTGGGTTTCAGCCCAATCCCTGCAGGTCACCCAGAGGGACCCCACTGTGCACAAATTCGTGCACCGGGCCTCTAGTGGGATTATAAGTGAGGATTCCCCTGGATAGAGGGAGGCTCTGTCTGTGCTTAGAAAGGCACCTTAGTGTCCCTGGGGTTTGTTTCCCTGCCTTCAAGGTGCTCTGCCATCTCCCACCCTCTCCCCGCTGCCCGCTGCTTGGCAGCTCTGCCCACTCGAGCATGATTTATTACTTCTCTCTCTTTTCCAGACACAGCACACTGGTCAACAAGCTCTCAGGCACCATAAGCAGCCTCCTGAGCAACACTGTGTCCTTCCTGGTGCAGAACCAGGTGAGTCCTCCACTCCTGGAGCCCAGAGCCAGGCCTGGTGGGGGGCAGTGCACATTTACAGGCCTGGCTGTGCTCTCTGGGCCCCGCTCCTTCTGAGGTGCAAGCTTCTCACTGGGCTGTCAGCTGGAACCGGCTCCTCTTTACTGGGCTTGGGAGGTGTGGGAGGGGGAGCAGAGGCCTGACATCAGCTGAAATCACTGGGTCCCAAACTTGAGCTATTTGTCATATCCATGTTCAAATAATGTGTTTGTAGCTAATGTGTTCCTTTAACGGACACAACTCCACTTACTTAAATTTATTTAAATACACTTGTTTTTAAAAGAAAACTTCATATCCCTGCCATTCATAAAAATTAATATCACTTATAATATAAGTAATTAAAAAAATAAACACAGACCTATAATAAAATAGGTATTTTATTTGCACATCATTCAAAACCATATGTACCATGTGCAGGATTCCTGTGCATCATACAAAACTGTATGTAGCACGTGCCCAAAGTTCCAGAGACTCTGAATTAGTCATTCCAGAAAGGGCCTAGGAATCTTGGTCGACGAAGGGCAAATCCCGGGCTGGAACCGCGCCACTCACTGTGCGGTCCTCCAGCTGCAGCACAGGCCTCGCTACAAGTGCAGACTCTCAGGCCCCACCCCAGGCCTGCAGAACTGGAATTTTCATTTATACAGATCCCCAGGGAACTGCACACAAAATCAGGAGAAACACTGCTGTAGGGTTCCAAGGGCCCCATTTCACTCTAAAATTCCAGGGTTCCAAACTTCAAGGTTTCTAAGAATGTAGGAGTCTGGGGTGTGAACACTCTAGACTCTTAAGGCTCTGGGATTGAAGGTGGTAGTTGGTGGGATCTAGCATCCGATGGTGCTCTGATGTTGGACTTCTCGCTTTCCAGTGTCCTAGAATCCTAAGGTTCTAAGATGCCATCTGATGAGCCTCTCCGTGGGTGGGCGGCAGTTTGTGCCCCGCTGATAATGAATCCATCCTTTTTTCTCCTTCCCCACCTCTTCTCCCTCCCTCTCTCCCCCTCAGATGTGCCCACTGCTGCGTATCTTCGTCAGCACCCTGGGTCCGCAGTTCGTTGAGAACATCATCAGTAAGTCACACCCCTGGGAAGCAGAGGTGTTCCCTGTGCAGCCTTCCCAGGGCAGGCATGCAGCTCTGAGCCCGCCCCACAGGCAGGTCTGGTCAGGGGCCCCTGGAGAAGCAGAAGGACCCACTCCTAAGTCAGCTGGGAGAGTGTGGCTGGAGGAATCCTTGCAGAATGGAAGGGGTTCTGTGGGCCTCTGGGGTCTCTCTACTATCATCCCTTGGAAAACCCACAGATGCTGCCTGGCAGAATGATGTGAGGAAGAGCATGGGCCAGATCTGAGTTCAAATCCTGGCTCTGCTACTTAGTAACTGTGGGGCCTTGGTCAAGCGGCTCTGCCTCTCTCAGCCTCTGTTTCTCCTGGGAAAACACGATTGCATCCATTGTGGGGTGGGTGAGTGGATTAAAAGAAAAAGCACAAAGAGCCTGATGTTCAGCAGACACTGCTAATCAACACGTTCCCTTCTCTTTCCCTTCTTATGAGGAGCTGGGGTTTCTCCTCCAGCCACTGGGGGCTTTCTTTAGCTTTTGGATCTCCAGGCATGTCTGGGGTTGCTGGGGAGACTGGAGCAGTAGAAATGGATCAAGTGAATGTGTCAGGGTCCTGGAGGTGGCCTTTCCATGAAATAGCCACAGGTCCAGTTCTTTGGGCAATCCCTCTGTGCTCTGCATGCACCATCTCATTGGATCCCCACAACAGCCCTGTGGGAGCGGTACCCTCATTGTACCCATTTTACAGATGAACAATTGAGGCTCAGAGAGGTGGAGTGGCATGCTTGAGGTCCCATCGCTGTCAGGCTGACCCACTGAAGAGTGATAGCCATTGGGGTCTGTTTTCTATTTGGTGGAGAATGAAGCTTCCTATTGGTTTTGTTTCTCTAGATAACGGTCAGCAGGGAGCCGATGTGCCAGCCAATGCCTGAAGAGGGCAGATGAGGTGGACTGCTGCGATGCCCCCAGCTGGTGAGGGTCAGGCTCTGTGGCCCATGCTAACGGAGGATGAGGCTCCTCCTTAGGGGACAATGGTGAAGCCAAAGCCAGGATTGGGTTCCCTTGTTTCTCTTGCAGCAGACTGAGTCCTAATCTTGCTGATCTTGGTCTTAGACTGAGCCTTGACCCTAGTCCCAAGCTGAGCCATGATCCTGGTCATACTCTAAATCCCAGTCCTTACTCACATACCTCGACTGAGCCTGGATCCTAGTCACAGGCTGAGCTTTGGCCCCAGTTATTAAGCCCTAAAATTAGTCACAGATTGAGCCCTGATCCTGGCCTCAGACTGATCCATGATCTTGATTATTTACAAAGCCCTGAACCCTGACTCTAGTCCTGGGCTCTGGTCAGTCTCTTTACATCTGCCACTGTTCCTAAGGTGAGAGGAGGGCAGAGTGAGGGGATAAGGAGGCCAGAGAAAGACCCCAAACCACAGGTGCCAGTCCCCTCTCCAAGGCCTTAGGCCCTGCAAGGTATTGTGAGAAAGAGCCTGGGCAGTAGTGTGTGGTGAAGAGCAGGTGCCACAAGGGTCCTTTTGCTGTCAATGGCCTAACTAACTCCTTGTGGTCTCATTCCAGATTAATTTCCAGTTGCTTGACCATGTTTCCTTGCAGTATCTCCCCCTGGGAAGATGCTGCCACCATCCAACTGGACTGAAAGCCTGAGACCAGAAGAAACCCTCTCAGCCACTCCTTGCCTTCACAGTGGAGACAGCAGTCTATGCCCATCACCCGCCCCCCTCCCCCAGCAATAAAGGCCACTTCTGCATTCTCCCGTGTGACACTTTGCATTCCTTCCAGTTGGGATTTGGGGAGGGTGGTGCAAGTAGGGCAGCAGAGACCTGGGTCAAGAACTGGAAGAGCCCTAGCTGGTTTTGCTCAGTGGTTAGAGTGTTGGCCTGGGGACTGAAGGGTCCCAGGTTTGCTTCTGGTCAAGGGCACATGCCTGGGTGGTGGGCTCGAGCTCTGGTGGGGGGCGTGCAGGAGATAGCCGATCAGTGATTTTCTCTCATCATTGATGTTTCAGTCTCTTTCACTATCTCCCCCTTCCTCTCTGAAATCAATAAAAATTTATTTTTAGAAAAAGAACTGGAAGGGACATCTGTGATTATCCAGCCCAACTTCTGGTTTTACAAATAGGGATACTGAGGCACAGAGAGCAAGAAACTGACCTAAAGTCACACAGCCAGTCTGTGGCAGTGGTAGAACGCTTGCTTCATCTATTCACATTCAGCGGGTATATAGTGAGCACTTACTCTGGACTAGGAAGGCAGTGGAAATAGGACAGTCACATTCTGGGCACTAACCCACCTGGTGCTTTTCTTCATTCCCGGTCAGGGGCCCTGAGAGGACTTGTGGAGAATCAGGGGATACCTGGTCTGACTGGACTCAGGAGCTCAGAGGCCTGGGCCACGTGCCGGCCTGCCCACCCATGTCTTTGGAAGGGCGAGGGCTCCACTGGAGCCGAGATCTCTTCAAGCAGTGCCTGAGAGCGCCCAAGGTCTCCAGCCCCCAGAGCTCACCCATCTCTCCTATCGCCACCCCCGAGAGCCTGTGTGCCCACCTGGCAAGCTGCACAAAAGCCCTGCCTGCCTGGTGAGGCCAGGGCTCCAGCGGTGTTCCATTGTCCCATGGAGACCAGCTCCTCTCTCCACCCAAGGCCCCTCCATTCATGCCCCAGAACTCAGCTGTCCCCAGGCTGCGCCTGGACGTGGTTGGGACAGTATCACTGCGTATGCTAAGACCACCACCATCGTGGAGGGCTGCCTTTGCTGGCACAGGGGACCTCATGAATTCCTCACCACCCCCTAATACCAAAACACCCTTCTTATCCCCATTTGACTGGGCAGTAACCAATCCGAGTCAGTGGCAAGCCTTTGTCCACAAGGTTCCATCCACTGGGCACCTTTCCTTCTCCAGCTCCCCTGGCTAAATTCTCCTCAGCTGCAAGACTCTGCTCAGGCAAGTGGGGGCCTCTCCTCAATGCTCCCTAAAAAAAGACACCGTGCTTCCCGACTTACAGGTCCAACCAAGTTCCCTGGTCATCGCTGTCCAATTCAGAGAGGGTGTTCAGGACGCGTTAGTTCTCATTACCATGGTTCTCACCTTCTTACTCAATTCATCTGTCTGCCCCATGAGCCTGTGACAGCGGTTCTCAACCTGTGGGTCACGACCCCTTTGGCGGTCGAACGACCCTTTCACAGGGGTCGCCTAAGACCATCCTGCATATCAGATATTTACATTACAATTCATAACAGTAGCAACATTACAGTTATGAAGTAGCAACGAAAATAATTTTATGGTTGTGTCACAACATGAGGAACTGTATTTAAAGGGCTAGAAGGTTGAGAACCACTGGCCTGTGAGATCCTTGAGGGCAGAGATCTTCCTCTGCTCAGCAGCCCCAGAGCCCAGAGAAGAACCAGATGCAGTACAGGCACCACCCATGTGGGGTGAATGAATGGGTGAAGCTTTTCTGGACGGTAACACCATTTTCAGAACAGCTGAGTGGGTGGGTGAACAGGAAAATGCTAACATCCCGGGATTGAGGGTGTATAGAAGACTAGTCATTATTTTCTGTTAACTAGGGCCAGATACTTGACATTTGAGACAGATGGACCCAATGCAAGGCTCCTAGATTAGTAAAGCTAGGATGTAGCATAGGTGCGGCCAAGGCCACTCACCCCCTCCAGGGACGGATGGGGCCCATAAAGGGGAAAGGGGACAAGGTGAAGAAGGGAGGAAGCATCCCCCGTTGTGAGCCTGGCACTGCCCAGACTAGCTCCTCACCCACTCAACCCAACCTCCAAGAGGGTTGAGGACTTCTTGGAGGTGGTGGCACCCCTTGAAGGAGGCTTCAGGGAAGAGGAGGACCCTGAGGGGTTGAGGGGACATCTGCCATAGAGAATATATGGGAAGAAAGAAGGCAAAACCTGTGTGGACCCCAAGTCATCTAGGAAGCAGAGCTCCAAACTCTAGTGCCGGCTCTTTTGAAGGCTTCATTCAGTTATATAAATGCTGGATCTTCCCAATGTTTGCACAATCCTTCAGGACAATCTCAGGATCAGATTTATGAACTCAATGCCTTGGAACACTTTATGACCTCAGGAACTCATCACAGAATTATTTACCAAACCGGATCTTTCTATTTATACTATGATGAGAGTGTGTATGCATTTCACCAAATATTTGCAAGAAAATCAACACTGATTTTAAATATTTGCTCTTTGAATGAGGATAAAATAAACGTCATCACACGGAAACGCCACAGGCCCATGTTAGAGAAGTCAGGTGTTACATCAACTCAATTGTCTATTTTTTGTTTGTTTGTTAATCCTCACCCGAGGATATTTTTCCATTGATTTTTTTTAGAGCAAGTGGAAGGGATGGGGAGAGACAGAGAGAAACATCTATGTGAGAGAGACACATCGATTGGTTACTTCCCGAGTGGGCCCCGAGAATGGCCCCCAACCAGGGCTGGGGATCAAGCTTGCAACAGAGGTATGTGCCCTTGGTCGGAATCAAACCTGGCCCCCAGCCAACACTCTATCCACTGAGCCAAACTGGCTAGGGCTCAACAGTCTATTTCTGAACACATTTTTAAAAAAAAAATAGAAATACTGTGTTTTATAGCTTGGTGAATCACAATAATGCAAACAACTGAAATTGGGGGAAAACATTGAAAAGGGATACTGAAATTTGACAAAATTTTGTTTGTGGGGGTGATGCATTTTTGTGTTAATGTTTAAGCACGGAAAAATGCATTTTTAAATAGCTAAGTCAGGCTGTGCCCTGGGCAGTTTAGGAGTGGCTGAAGCAGTTTAGGAGTGGCTGAAGCAGTACCTGTCCAACCCAGTGCAGCAGGAATTGTGTTGAAGGGGTTGGGAGAGAGGAAGCAGGACCTGCACCTGTCACAGACGCCCACAGCTTCCTATAGGAACACACACACACACACACACACACACACACACACACACACACTGCTGAGAAAAATACTCAGAGCAGAGGCTCTGCCCCAGCCCGAAGGTAAGGGGCAGTCAGGGAAGGCTTCCTAGAGAAGGTGCCAATTGAGCTGAAATTGAAAGGATGACGAGGAGAGAAGGGAGGGGAAGGCATTGCAAGCAAAAGGAGCAAGGCCTCCCCTTTGGTCCCAGAGAGAGAACAAAGTGATTCTCTTTGGTTCCTATCCAAGGCTGGCAGGCAAAGTCAACATTTGTCTCTTTGGTCCTGTAATCGCTTGCCTACCCACCTGACCCTCTGCCTGCAGGCGTGGCTACTAATGGGAGCCACTGACAACAGTACCTATGGATCCGGATATCATAATGTTATGGAAACTTCCAGATAATGTTACCACACGACCCAGCAATTGGTATTGCTCAAAGAAGTTGAAAATGTCTACACAAAAAGCCTGCACACAGAGGTTTGTGGAGCTTTTTTCATAATTGTCAAAACTCAGAGCAGCCAAGATGCCCTTCAATAAGTGTATGGATAAATAAACTGTGGTCCATGCAGGCAACGGCATATTATTCAGCACTATAAAGAAATGAGCCATTGAGTCATGAACTGACAGAGAGGAACCTTAAATGCATGTTACTGCCCAGCTGTAGTGGCTCAGTGGTTGAGCTTCAATCTATGAACCAGAAGGTCACAGTTCTATTCCCCGTCAGGGCACATGCCTCCGTTGTGGGCTCCATCCCCAGTGGGGTTGTGCAGGAGACAGCCAATTAATGATTCTCATCATTGATGTTTCTATCTCTCTCTCTTCCTTCCTCTCTGAAATCAATAAAAATATATATTTTTAAATGCATATTACTAATAAAAGAAGCCAATGTAAAAAGGCTACATACTATATGATTCCAACTATGTGGCATTCTGGAAAAGGCCAAACTGTGAGACAGTGAAAAGATTGGTGGTTGCAGGGAGGAGGAGTGAGGAATGAGGGAGGGGTGAATAAGCAGAGCACAGAGGATTTATAGGGCAGTGAGACTACTCTCTATGATACTCTAACGGCAGATACATGTCGTTACACATTTGTCCAAACCCATTGAATGTACAACACCGAGAGTGAAACGTAACGTGAACTATGGACTTTGGGAGATTGTGATGGGCTGGGCTGAGCTGGGGTTCAGAGGTTGGGGTGGGGGGTCACGGCTCATAGAAACCAGGGTAGAAGGCACCCTTGAGTCATCTGGTACAGTCATTCCCGTTTCTGGTCAGCAATGCCGAGAAACTGGACACCGGCCACTCGGGTTCCCAGAACACCTGACCCAAATTACCTAGGGATGGGGCTCAAGCTCCTGTATTTTAAGCAATCTTCGTAGGTAATGATGTGTAATTTTTTTAGGGTTATCACCTAAAGCAGTGGTCGGCAAACTCATTAGTCAACAGAGCCAAATATCAACAGTACTTCTTCAAAATAGACTCCTCCAGGCCGAAAACCGACTTCTGCGCATGGGCCACGAGTTTCAATCGTACTGTACTCGCGCCCACACGTGGTATTTTGTGGAAGAGCCACACTGAAGAGCCAAAGAGCCGCATGTGGCTCTCGAGCCACGGCTTGCCGACCACGGACCTAGAGTAAAAAATCCCAACAAAACTACAAGATATGCAATAAAAGAGGAAAGGAAGTGGGACTCAGGTCCCTTCGGCCTTGGATGATTCCTTCGCCTTCTCCGGGCCAGAGGCTCCCCAGACTTCCCAGCAAGGAGGTTACACCGAAGAGCTCTCAGCGCTCCTCTGGCTTTGCTGTCTGTGATCTTTCGCGTGTCGTGTGTGGCTCTCCGGCAGCCACCAGGAGGGAGGAGGCCCAGTGAATGTTCAAAACCACGAGTGAGGACTGTTGTGGGTTTCAGCGGCAGGAATTCAATTCATAAGGGCCTGAGCAAAAACGAAAAAAGGGGGCGGGGGAGAAATGTATTTGAACTGAAAAGTCTGGGGTATATACGACTTCAGGCACAGCTAGATCCGGGCACGCAAATGATATATTTTCTCATTCCCTTAGTATTGGCTTTGTTTTCTAGTGGGCTTTAGATAACTGTGTCTAAAGTCTCTAAGAGGAAAAAGAAAAACAAAGCAGAACCAGCAATCTGGAGAGACCCAAATCCACCTTTGCTGGTAGTGAGCTCTTTCATTCAGAAGAGTGGCAACCTGGTCTCCATGACTCTGTACAAAGTTCTGCTCCTTTAGGCAGCAGATGCATCTTCATCTGAGTCTAGCTTGCACTGTCATGCACATGTGCACGTATGCACATGTGTGCTGTATGTGTGTGGACATGCACACATACATATGTGTAGGCATATACACGCTTATTTAAGAGTTGTACACACACTATTGGGAGTAGATCTGGAGGACTGCGGGAAGATGGGGGCATGGTTTCTCCCCACTTTGGGAGATGTAGCCTAGTGTAGGTCAGACTTGGGGGCCCCCAAATGCTTTAGCAGAGAGGGGCCCTCAAGGGTGTGGCAAAGTCCTGTCCTCGTGTGTGCTGGGGGGATGGGGGACCCTGAGACTATGGCTCCTTAGCAGGACCTGTGAGCTGCATATGAGAGTTCAAGCTCCTCTGCTCACCCTCCTGCCTTTGTGCCATCCCCTAGCCCAGTGTTTGGCAAACCACGGCTCGCGAGCCACCTGCGGCTCTTGGCCCCTTGAGTGTGGCTCTTCCACAAAATACCACGTGTGGGCACGCACGTACAGTGCGATTGAAACTTCCTGGCCCATGCCAGACGTCGGTTTTCCGAAAGGAGATGACGAAACAAGTATACAAGACGAGTGTGGATGGGAGAGTTGAAAGGGGTCAACCTCAGCGAACGTACGTCAATCAGATTGAGGACGTTTTTAGCAAAGGCCAGCTTAGGAGTACCCTAATTAAGTTAATAACAATTTACCTACCTATATAGTTTAAGTTTAAAAAATTTGGCTCTCAAATTTCAATCGTTGTACTGTTGATATTTGGCTCTGTTGACTAATGAGTTTGCCGACCACTGGCCTAGCCCCACACCCAGGAGACAAGTTACTGTCACCTCAGAGCTTGGCCGTGCAAGGTGGCCAATGTCATGGGGAAAGCTGGCTGTGGTCTAGGTGTGGTTCATGCTGAGAATCAGCACCTAGCGCAAGTCTCTGCAGCCCGGCCATGGCCAGCCAGGCGTAGTTGGGGTCTTGGGAGGTGGGGAGGGGGAGGAAAGGAAAGAGATAGGAAACCCGAGGGAAAGATATCCATGTGGGGCAGCTAGACTCAGGTAGAAGAAACTAAAAAATGCAACAATGGTCTTTCAACAATAGACCAAGGAAATGTAGGATCACGGTTTACAGTCAGGCCACGTCCCACAAGAGCCAGTAGTCACCTCGTCCACTTTCTGAGCATCTCAGGTGATGGGGATCTTGCCACCTTCCCAGGTAGGGCCTGGTCTTATCGGATGCCCCAGAGAAAGGTTTAGAGCATTCTAGAGACAGGTCAGAGCCTTTGAAACCCACATTTGAGGAAAGCCTCAGAGCACAGGGTGGTAACAATTTGCTGAGGGCAATGAACACGTTTTTTAACAAAATCACATTGTGGCCTGGTTGGTGTGGCTCAGTTGGTTGAGTGTCGTCCCATGGAACAAGAGGTCGCAGGTTTGATTCCCGGTCAGGGCACATGCCCGGGTAGTAGGCAGCTTGCAGGAGGCAGCCCATGGACATTTCTCTCTCACTGATGCTTCTATCTCCCTCTCCCTTCATCTCGCTCAAAAATCAATAAAAACATATTTTAGCTGAAACCGGTTTGGCTCAGTGGATAGAGCGTCGGTCTGCGGACTGAAGGGTCCCAGGTTCGATTCCGGTCAAGGGCATGTACCTGGGTTGCGGGCACATCCCCAGTAGGAGATGTGCAGGAGGCAGCTGATCGATGTTTCTCTCTTCGATGTTTCTAACTCTCTATCTCTCTCCCTTCCTCTCTGTAAAAAATCAATAAAATATATTTTTAAAAAAACGTATTTTAAAAAATGAAATTGTGGTGATGTTCTGTGAAAGAAGCAATCAAGGAGCTGAGGTGGTGATAATGGAGAGGCGCCACCTCATGTGGGCAGTGAGAGGGGTTCTGAAGAGGTGACATCAAGAGCTGGGAGCAGCTGGAGAGGAGAGTCATGGGCAGAGAGAATGGCTTATGCAAAGCCCAAAGCAGGAAAGAGGTCAGAACCTTCTGGAATAGAAGGAAGAGAGGTAGGGGCCAGCAGGGACAGGTAGGAGATGAGTTTGGAGAGACAGTGACCAGATGACACAGGCTCCTGTAGGGCACGGTAGGACTTTGGGTTTAAGCTGAGTGACACACCTGCTGCTGCATTGAGAGGAGAGTGGATGGAGCAAGTGCTCCAGGGGTGAGGCTGGTGGGTGTGTCTCCTGACACTGGCTGTGCCACCTCAGGTGCGGTGCTTAACCTTTCTGGGCTGCACTGTTGCCCACACATGGGGGTAACAGGAGGCAGATTTTGTTCACTCTCAGGAGAAACTCTAACTAGATGGAACAGGCAATCTTAAGAGGTAGTGAGCTCCCCATCATTGCAAACATTTGAACCGAGGCTGGCTCCACCATGAAAGCACTTGGGCGCCAGAGGATTGGGTAGAGTGGCCTTTCTGGTTGCTGACCCTGACCTTCTGTGGACCACAATTCTGGTCTCATTTTTGTCCTTGTCTTGCTGGGTGACCTCAGGCTGGTTACTTCCCCTCTCTAGCCTCAGTTTCCAAATGATGACAGAAATAGGCTGATGATCACTATAGATTCCCCACCAGCAAATTCTCTAATTTGTCTATTCTCAGTCTTCACCTTACCCCCCACTCACAAAGGCCATCGTCTTGGCAGCTGGAGACTCCATGAGAGCCTGGTCTTAGTCTTGGCAGAAAGTCCTCCCAAAGCCACACATGTCAATCCCAGCATCCTGGGTGGACTTTGGGTTGGAAGTCTCTCTGCTCATCCCGGACAGGGGTTGTTATTTTCTTTGGCGTCTCCTAAGATGGCCCCGGAAACAGGACTTGCTTCCATGCGCAGCCTCCCATTCTGTGGCTACCAATATAAGGGCCACCACCACCCAGAAGAATCCCAGGAGACCGTGCAGGAGAACAAGGATTCGCGATCATCCTCCTCCAAACCTGTGAGTGGTGGGCTTGCCTCTGACCACACCCCACAGGGTGGTCTTCAGAAGGCTTTGGGGGCTAGAGACAGAGGACTAGGACAGCTTGGATTCGCTAATATGTTGAATATAGCAAATTAAGAGATAGATAGATAGATAATTACACTCAGAGAAGTGTCAAACTGATGGGCAATGCAGGGTCATGATATAGCGCCCATTTATTTGTTCATACTTTTATTGGGCAAAGAGTTATTCGTTGAACGGTCCTGACTATAGGGATTTTATGGGGGCTGAGGATTTGACAGGGAAATGTCACCGTTCCTCGTCTAAAGAGTTCACAGGCTGGTGATAGAGGCAGACAGGTCATCAGGTAATTGGCACCCAGGACTCTGATCAGAGAACGAATGCAGAAGAGACGGTGGGGTGAAGCTCCCTAACCTAGACTCTGGAGAGGGGCCTACAGTAGGCTCCCTAGAGGACACGATGTCTTACTGAAGCCAGAGAGACAATAGGTTAAAAATGCAAAGAAGAGGACAGATGTTCCAGGCAAAGAAGCCAGCATATGGCAGAAACCCTTTTGTAAAGATCATGAATTTGTAGTCAAGTGTGACTTCTCAAATTGCAGCTGGTCCACTCACTGGCTGTGTGTTTCTGGGCAAGTTGCTCTAGCTTTCTGAGCTGGGCTGCCCATCTGTAAAACAGGAGACAGCCACCTCTATCTTAAAGGAATGTTAAGTGAAAGAGGGGGGCTGCTCATTGAAAACTCCTTTTCCCTCTGGGTAATTCTCACTCCTGTTCCTCCTATGAATGTCCAGGTGTCAGCACAAGATGTTTCAGCTTTGGAAACTTGTTCTCTTGTGTGGCCTGATCTCTGGGACCTCAGCAGGTATTATTCACTCACTTGGCAAAGGCGTGGGTAACATTGTAGACGGCCTGAGACCTGCTATTGATAATAGACTTAGGGACATTAAATGTGAGTCAGTAAGGGTGCTGATAGGCGGCACCCAGAACCTGTTTCCTAAACATTATGCTGCATTTCCAGGGGCTGCCACCAGGGGCTGCCCTTTAGGGATGGTTCACTAGGAAAGGTGGTTAGTCACTTCCTGGCTCATTTACTTACTTACTTACTTACTTACTTACTTACTTACTTATTTATTAAAATTTTTATTGATTTCAGAGAGGAAGGAAGAGGGAGAGAGAGATAGAAACATCAATGATAAGAAAGAATCATCAATTGGCTGCCTCCTGCATGCATCCTACAGGGAATTGAGCCCACAACCCAGGCATGTGTCCCAACCTGGAATGGAACTGTGACCTCCTGGTTCATAGGTCGATACTCAACCACTGAACCACTCTGGCCAGGCCATTAATTTTTTCTATAAACAAGCAATGCTTAAATGAATATTCTTGTACATATTATATCATGTTTCTAGTCTATACATAGCATAAGTTCCTAAAAGCGAGATTTCAAAAGTTCAAAGGATATTTCACTCTATTCCCTTGATGGCACTGGTATGGACAACTTAAATGTTTTGCCAGACTCATATGACGAAAGACTCTAACGCCTTTCACTTTAAAGTTCTCTAATTATAAAAGAATCCACTCATTTTTTCATATTTTAATCTTTTTATATATTTTAACTTAAGTATTTTGTTCATATCCTTAGCATATTAGTCTGTTGGGTTGTTTACTTTTCTTATTGATTTGTATTAACTCCACCTAGCATAGGTAGCTATATGCCTATTTTTATAGTTAATTGAATCTCCTTTTAATTCTGATTTCTCAAAAGAACTTGGCTTTCTTTTTATTTTCTGGAAAATTAACAGCACATTGACAAACATGTTTATAGGAGTTAGTCACTTCTGTAAATGACTGCCTTTCAAATACTGTCAGGCAATTTTCAAAGATATGGAAGGGACCCCCATCTTTAATTTCACTGCTGAGAAAACTAAGCTCAGAAACAGAAGTGTCTGAGTTAAGGTCACCTAAGACCAGACATAGTTTTATTTATTTATTTTATTTCTTGATTGGGGTTATACAGGTTTCAGGTGCACAATTCCACAACACATCATCTGTACACTGTACTGTGTGTTCACCACCCCAAGTTCAGTCTCCTTAGCTCCATAGTTTTATTTATGTTGGCATTTTTTGTTTGCATCATTGTAACCAGGTAGATACTGTCCATTGCATAGCCAAGTTGAAGTACTATGATTACATACCTTCTCCACTACATTCTTTTGTTTTTCCTTGAGTTAGTAATTGCCTTGCTGTTTTTCACTTGAAATATTTTGCACACATATCCTTAATTCTTCTCATATACTGCATTCTACATCTGCCATGTCATTTATTCTATTAATCCCTCTTTTCACTAGGGACCTCCTATTAAGACACTTTGTCATCCTGCTCCTGTGTGAATTATTGCTCTCTGGGCCTGCTGCAAAGCTCTCATCCTGGGATTCCAATTTGTCACTTTTATAGGTTGAAGTCATATTTTTTCCTTAATTCTAGATTTTCCATATCTTTGTTTATTGACCTACTTTTTCAAACTTATGTAGACATCTCATTTAGAGCAATAGACACCCCCCGCCCCCCCGCCCATCACTACTAGAAGCAGGTGTATAATCCTTATCAATTGCCTGGTCAATTGCTTGGTTGGTTTGTTGATTAAAAATGAGTGATTAAAAATGAGTATATATTAGTATGAAAACAGCATGGAAGGAAGAGGGGCTCTGTAGCTGTATGTCTTCAGGCATGTTTCTTAAACTTTTCATTCTTATTTCCTCATCTGTAAAATCCAGATACTGTCGATATCTACCTCATTGAGTTGTTATGAAGATTAAAGGAAATAACACAGGCAGTCTTTTCTAGTACCTGGTGCATAGTAGCAGCTTCATAAGTGGTACATAACACTAAATAGCAATTGTTTTTGCCAGGTATTCCTCAGGACCTGAAGGAGGACTTGAACCTGCTTCGGGATACCAATAGGTGGCAAGCCATCCAGGACAAGTTCTACGAAACTCAAGTTGTGTTGAATGATGCCCTTTCTAAAATATTTAAAGGGGGCCACGCTTTGGGGTGAGTTGGTGCTTCCTGGTGGAGATCGTTGCTCAAAAAAAAAAGGGAGGGGAAAATACATGTCTTTTGGGGAGGGGTGTAAATTTCAGGTTAAAGGCAGAAAGGCAACACAACTTGTTCTTCCCACAGAGCCCACGTGGTCTGAGGCCAGGCCCACCAGAGCCTGAGTAAATTAGAGGCAGGGCCACATGACCAATCTGAGCATCACATGAGTTTCAGCTTCCACATCCTGTAATTTCAGGGTCAGGGGGAAGGTTCTCTTCACTCTCACCTCCACCTGTTTGCTGGTGCCTGGATTCCCTTTTCCAGGGAATGAGACTCTCCTCTCTAAATGCAGCTGAGAATAAACTTTCAAATCCCCTCAGGAGAGAGGAAACTGAAATCCACGCCCGCTGGCTCCACACATAGAATTTTGGAGTCAAAGAGTTGTGAGTTCAAATTCTGGCTCAGGCGATTGCTCTTCCTTGGTATCTTGGGGGAATCACAGCTGCTGGTCCTCAGTGTGCCACGCCATAGAATGGAGACAATCAACCTCTGAGGAGGGCTATGGGAAAGACCAAAATAGGCAAGGCTGATGAGGCCCAAATGCTCAGCATCATGCTGCAGAGAGAAGAGCTCAGCAAATGGCTGTCATGAGGAATGACAAGGGTGAATTCTGGTTGTTGCACAGGTTGAAAATCAGTAATGTCCACATCTTGAATTTCAAAGCCGAACCAACTCCTGATGGCCAAGGCGTTCAACTGAGGTTCCCCACATCTGCTGATGTCTCCTTGACCCTGTGAGTATGCATTAGAAGCTGGGAATTGGGGCAGGGGGGCAGTGCAGCACAGCCAATGGTCCTCCAAGCTAGAACCAGGCACTTTTCCACACCACTTAGTGGCCTTGGGCCTCGGTTTCCCCATCTGTAAATAAGGGAGCTTTTCTAGCTCTAAAATCCTAACCTTTAAAAAGTTCTAATAAACTTTGGCCATAACCAAGTCTCCCTTAAAAGAATTCTCCATTAAATATATTTCTGGAATTATAACATTTATCTAATAGTAAAATTTGCAAAAATAAATAGGTCAAACATTAACGAGTCTTTGGCAAAATTTTCTCTAGCATTATTTTGTCTCTCAAGATTCTCTTTAAATAGCAGTGACCATTACAGATAAATGCATATAATAGTGTATAGCTTATAATAAAGGGAATATGTGAAAAATAAAATTTTATTTTTTTAATTTATTTTTTATTGAACTTATTGGGGTTACATTGGCCAATAAAATTATATAGGTTTCAAGTATACAATTCTACAATACATCATCTGCACATTGCATGGTACGCTCACCATCCAAAGTCTAGTCTCCTTCCAACACCATTTATCCCCTCTTTACTCTCTTCTGCCTCCCCGAAGCCCCTTTCCCTCTGATAACAGATAACAGATACTGTTATCTGTTTCCATGAGTTTTGGGTGTTGTTTTTTTTTTGCTTAATCCCTTCACCTATATTACCCAACCCTCAAGCCCCCTTCCCTCTGACAGGCAGTCTGTTCTATGAATCTGTTTCTATCTTGTTTATTTTTTTCATTACAATCCACAAATACATGAAACCACATGGTAGAAAAATATAATTTTAAAGTATATTAATTACTTTAAAAGAAATAGATGTGGATAAATCTTTATAAATTGAGTACACTGTCAATTCATCATGCATTAGCTATGAGATCTTAGGATAGTTACTTAACCTCTCTATATCAATGCTTCCTCATTCTGAAATAGCAATAATAATAATAGTAGTTTCCCTTATGGTATTGCTGTAATAATTAGATGGATTAATCCAGTTAAAATACCTTCTAAAAGTGCCTAACATAATTTGTGCTCAATAAATGTTACCTATTATTATTATTATTTAATTATTAGTGTGCTGCTATATAAAATTTTCATAGGAACCAAACCTTGGAGACCAGGAGAAGAAGCCCTAATGCAAATATGTTATATCCCATAAAGAATGTGGACAATGATGACATTCTCCATAGATATCCTGAATAGTGTCCGCACAGGTGGAGGAACCGAGTGGGCGATGTGAAAGGTCTTCTAGACGTCTTCTCACTGTGAGTCTCATTGTCTGCAGGCCTCTCGTTGGGCAGGCAGTCCAACTGAACGTTTCCTTGGACCTCCTGGCTACTGTCGAAGTTGAAACTGATCCCAAGAGTGGTGACTCCAGAGTGGTCTTGACAGATTGCGCCAGCGACCCAGACAGCATCTCATTCACCTTGTTGGGCGAGTAAGTCCCATCCATCTCAAGTGAGGTGGGCTCTCAGAGGAGCGAAGGACCCTAATTTCAGCCTCTTCCTGCCCCTGGGAGATGGCACAATGTGGTGAAAAAGGGTTTAGGCTCTGCAGTCAGACAGGCCTTGGTTCAAATACCAGCTTTGTCACTAACTTGTAACTTTGCCATCGACTTAACCTCTCTGAGCCCCGGTTTTCATATATGGAAACTGAAGATGACAGTAATGCCTACGTATAGGCTGCTGAGCTGACGAAATGATAAAATACAAGTGTTTAGCATAGAGCCTGGCACACACTAAGCTCTCGGTAAGAATAGCATCCATGCTGATTTTGTGTCCCCTTGTTCTCCCCATGATGACTGAGGCAGGAGTGTTGACCTCTCCAACTAGAATCATGAATTTGCTTACTTCCCCTTTCAGCTCTAGCAGAGTTTTGGTTCTTGCTTTTTGAAGCTCGGTAGTTAGGGGCGTGCATATTTAGGATTGCTATGTCTTCTTGAAGAATTACCCCTTCATTGTTATCTCAATCATGGTCATCAGCATCAGCATCAGTTGTATTTACCTTCTTGCCTCTGGTTGGGAGGAGGAAGAGGAGGAAATGTCCACCATGGGCTCTAATTTCAGATTGTCTCCAAATTGTTCTCCACCTTCTGGAAAATTCCTGAAATGAGATCTTGAGAATTTAATCCTATCCACTTAAATCACTGATCCCTGTTAATCCACAAAATCTACATCTTAAACTGTGTGATTGAAAGAGCAGGTTTGGTCCCTGGAAGAGGGTTAAGGGAGAATGGGTGACCTGGACGTGGCTGGGACAGGAGAAATGCTCTGGAAGTTGAGGACTGGAGCAGGTTGGCTTTGGCAGGGAAGAGGGTCAATCCACCCTACCTCCACCAGGGGATCTGAGCACAGGTTGCCTAAAGACCCCCTAAAGCCAAACAAAGGCTCCAAGGGCCTATGTTAGTTGGAAAAGCTGGGATGCAATTCAGAGCTCTGAGCCCTGCTGGACACTGCTTTGCCTGTAGCCCCAGGGAATTCCTCCTGCCTCTGGGTCTCAGTGTCCAAATCTATAGAATGGCTTCCCACTCTGCTGCTCCAAATCCTCTCAGGGCTTTTCTTTCTGCTTTGGATGGAATCCCAAACCCTCCCCATGGCCATGTAGGCTCTGCCTGACCGGCCCCACCCTCATCTCACTTCACTCTCTCCTTGTTCTCTCCTGGCAAACACACTGGACTTTGCTCTGTCCCTCTTTCCCAGCTCCAGACCTGTGCAGGGCTGTCCTCGCTACCTCCTCCCCTTCCCCGCCCCCACCCCTCGCCTCCCAATCTCACCTCAATGGACTCTCATCCTTCAGCATCTAAAACAGGTTTCCTCCTCTCAAAAGTGCCTACTCCCACCCTTCAGAGTACTTATCACAAGTTGTCATCATACATTTAATTGTATGTTTACTTCATTCATTCTTTCAGCTTAATAGTGTCTTGAGCACCTACTATGTGCCAGACAGGCAGTGTTCTGAGCTCTGGAGAACTTACTGATGAGAACAGACAAGGACCCTGCTGTTGTGCTTTTTGTCCGGATGGAAAGGCAGATAGGCGAGCATTCAGCCCCTTAATAAAGAGCTCTCAAGGAAGATGTCAGATGGCATAAGCCCTGGGCAGAGCAGCACACTTATCAGGGAACCATAATACAAAGCCCTTCCTTAGGGGAGTAGTCAGAGGGGGCTGCCCTGAGGAGGTGGGAAGGTGGGAAGGAGCCAGCCTTAGCAAGACTTGTTTAATGTTTGGGTACCAGCTTAAGAGCTGTTTGTGCTTTGCTCATCCTATGTCCCAGTCTAGCTTGGTCCTTGGACATCGTTGCTGTGCTATAATATTTGTTGAATGAAGGGGGTTGTGATGAGATTCTCATGAGGCATTGGGGGGAGTCGCTGGTCAGACATCCTATATAAAAGAGGGGTAATATGCAAATAGACCGAATGGCAGAACAACCAAACAGCCAATCAAAGCATCATATGCTAATGATATGCTAAGGCTGTTCAACCATTCGCTATGATGTGCACTGACCACCAGGGTGCAGATGCTCCAACCTGTAGGTTAGCTTGCTGCTGGGGTCTGGCCAATCAGGATTGAGTGAGACAGGCCGGACACGCTCTGGAGCCCTCCCGCGGTCCCTCCCCAGCTGGCCAACCTCCTGTGTCCCTCCCTGGCCCCGATTGTGCACTGATAGGGTCCCTCGGCCTGGCCTGCGCCCTCTTGCAATCCGGGGCCCCTTGTGGGATGTCGGAGAGCCGGTTTCAGCCAGATCCTGCAGGCCACTCCCCTTAGGAAGACGCCAGACATAGGGCTCATGGCTGGCAAGCGCTGCTGCAGCAGCACGAGCCTCTCCCAATAGGGACTGATTGGGTGCGAGCCTGGGGCAGGCACAGTGGGGCCAGGATGAGCAGGAGTGGCAGGTAGGAGCTGCAGGCAGCGTTGGACTGTGGGTTTCAGCCCAATCCCTGCAGGTCACCCAGAGGGACCCCACTGTGCACAAATTCGTGCACCGGGCCTCTAGTGGGATTATAAGTGAGGATTCCCCTGGATAGAGGGAGGCTCTGTCTGTGCTTAGAAAGGCACCTTAGTGTCCCTGGGGTTTGTTTCCCTGCCTTCAAGGTGCTCTGCCATCTCCCACCCTCTCCCCGCTGCCCGCTGCTTGGCAGCTCTGCCCACTCGAGCATGATTTATTACTTCTCTCTCTTTTCCAGACACAGCACACTGGTCAACAAGCTCTCAGGCACCATAAGCAGCAGCCTGAGCGACACTGTGTCCTTCCTGGTGCAGAACCAGGTGAGTCCTCCACTCCTGGGGGCCCAGAGTCAGGCCTGGTGGGGGGCAGTGCACATTTACAGTCCCAGCTGTGCTCTCTGGGCCCCGCTCCTTCTGAGGTGCAATCTTCTCACTGGGCTGTCAGCTGGAACCGGCTCCTCTTTACTGGGCTTGGGAGGTGTGGGAGGGGGAGCAGAGGCCTGACATCAGCTGAAATCACTGGGTCCCAAACTTGAGCTATTTGTCATATCCATGTTCGAATAATGTGTTTGTAGCTAATGTGTTCCTTTAACGGACACAACTCCACTTACTTAAATTTATTTAAATACACTTGTTTTTAAAAGAAAACTTCATATCCCTGCCATTCATAAAAATTAATATCACTTATAATATAATTAATTTAAAAAATAAACACAGACCTATAATAAAATAGGTATTTTATTTGCACATCATTCAAAACCATATGTACCATGTGCAGGATTCCTGTGCATCATAAAAACTGTATGTAGCACGTGCCCAAAGTTCCAGAGACTCTGAATTAGTCATTCCAGAAAGGGCCTAGGAATCTTGGTCGACGAAGGGCAAATCCCGGGGCTGGAACCGCGCCACTCACTGTGCGGTCCTCCAGCTGCAGCACAGGCCTCGCTACAAGTGCAGACTCTCAGGCCCCACCCCAGGCCTGCAGAACTGGAATTTTCATTTATACAGATCCCCAGGGAACTGCACACAAAATCAGGAGAAACACTGCTGTAGGGTTCCAAGGGCCCCATTTCACTCTAAAATTCCAGGGTTCCAAACTTCAAGGTTTCTAAGAATGTAGGAGTCTGGGGTGTGAACACTCTAGACTCTTAAGGCTCTGGGATTGAAGGTGGTAGTTGGTGGGATCTAGCATCCGATGGTGCTCTGATGTTGGACTTCTCGCTTTCCAGTGTCCTAGAATCCTAAGGTTCTAAGATCCCATCTGACGAGCCTCTCCGTGGGTGGCCGGCAGTTTGTGCCCCGCTGATAATGAATCCATCCTTTTTTCTCCTTCCCCACCTCTTCTCCCTCCCTCTCTCCCCCTCAGATGTGCCCAATGCTGCGTATCTTCATCGGCACCGTGAATCCGCAGCTTGTTGAAAATGTCTTCAGTAAGTCACACCCCTGGGAAGCAGAGGTGTTCCCTGTGCAGCCTTCCCAGGGCAGGCATGCAGCTCTGAGCCCGCCCCACAGGCAGGTCTGGTCAGGGGCCCCTGGAGAAGCAGAAGGACCCACTCCTAAGTCAGCTGGGAGAGTGTGGCTGGAGGAATCCTTGCAGAATGGAAGGGGTTCTGTGGGCCTCTGGGGTCTCTCTACTATCATCCCTTGGAAAACCCACAGATGCTGCCTGGCAGAATGATGTGAGGAAGAGCATGGGCCAGATCTGAGTTCAAATCCTGGCTCTGCTACTTAGTAACTGTGGGGCCTTGGTCAAGTGGCTCTGCCTCTCTCAGCCTCTGTTTCTCCTGGGAAAACACGATTGCATCCATTGTGGGGTTGGTGAGTGGATTAAAAGAAAAAGCACAAAGAGCCTGATGTTCAGCAGACACTGCTAATCAACACGTTCCCTTCTCTTTCTCTTCTTATGAGGAGCTGGGGTTTCTCCTCCAGCCACTGGGGGCTTTCTTTAGCTTTTGGATCTTCAGGCACGTCTGGGGTTGCTGGGGAGACTGGAGCAGTAGAAATGGATCAAGTGAATGTGTCAGGGTCCTGGAGGTGGCCTTTCCATGAAATAGCCACAGGTCCAGTTCTTTGGGCAATCCCTCTGTGCTCTGCATGCACCATCTCATTGGATCCCCAAAACAGCCTGTGGGAGCGGTACCCTCATTGTACCCATTTTACAGATGAACAATTGAGGCTCAGAGAGGTGGAGTGACATGCCTGAGGTCCCATCGCTGTCAGGCTGACCCACTGAAGAGTGATAGTCACTGGGATCTGTTTTCTATTTGGTGGAGAATGAAGCTTCCTATTGGTTTTGTTTCTCCAGATAACGGTCAGCAGGGAGCCGATGTGCCAGCCAATGCCTGAAGAGGGCAGATGAGGTGGACTGCTGTGATGCCCCCAGCTGGTGAGGGTCAGGCTCTGTGGCCCATGCTAACGGAGGATGAGGCTCCTCCTTAGGGGACAATGGTGAAGCCAAAGCCAGGATTGGGTTCCCTAGTTTCTCTTGCAGCAGACTGAGTCCTAATCTTGCTGATCTTGGTCTTAGACTGAGCCTTGACCCTAGTCCCAAGCTGAGCCATGATCCTGGTCATACTCTAAATCCCAGTCCTTACTCACATACCTCGACTGAGCCTGGATCCTAGTCACAGGCTGAGCTTTGGCCCCAGTTATTAAGCCCTAAAATTAATCACAGATTGAGCCCTGATCCTGACCTCAGACTGATCCATGATCTTGATTATTTACAAAGCCCTGAACCCTGACTCTAGTCCTGGGCTCTGGTCAGTCTCTTTACATCTGCCACTGTTCCTAAGGTGAGAGGAGGGCAGAGTGAGGGGATAAGGAGGCCAGAGAAAGACCCCAAACCACAGGTGCCAGTCCCCTCTCCAAGGCCTTAGGCCCTGCAAGGTATTGTGAGAAAGAGCCTGGGCAGTAGTGTGTGGTGAAGAGCAGGTGCCACAAGGGTCCTTTTGCTGTCAATGGCCTAACTAACTCCTTGTGGTCTCATTCCAGATTAATTTCCAGTTGCTTGACCATGTTTCCTTGCAGTATCTCCCCCTGGGAAGATGCTGCCACCATCCAACTGGACTGAAAGCCTGAGACCAGAAGAAACCCTCTCAGCCACTCCTTGCCTTCACAGTTGAGACAGCAGTCTATGCCCATCACCCGCCCCCCTTCCCCAGCAATAAAAGCCACTTCTGCATCCTCCCGTGTGACACGTTGCATTCCTTCCAGTTGGGATTTGGGGAGGGAGGTGCAAGCAGGGCAGCAGAGACCTGGGTCAAGAACTGGAAGGGCCCTAGCTGGTTTTGCTCAGTGGTTAGAGTGTTGGCCTGGGGACTGAAGGGTCCCAGGTTTGCTTCTGGTCAAGGGCACATGCCTGGGTGGTGGGCTCGAGCTCTGGTGGGGGGCGTGCAGGAGATAGCCGATCAGTGATTTTCTCTCATCATTGATGTTTCAGTCTCTTTCACTATCTCCCCCTTCCTCTCTGAAATCAATAAAAATTTATTTTTAGAAAAAGAACTGGAAGGGACATCTGTGATTATCCAGCCCAACTTCTGGTTTTACAAATAGGGATACTGAGGCACAGAGAGCAAGAAACTGACCTAAAGTCACACAGCCAGTCTGTGGCAGTGGTAGAACGCTTGCTTCATCTATTCACATTCAGCGGGTATATAGTGAGCACTTACTCTGGACTAGGAAGGCAGTGGAAATAGGACAGTCACATTCTGGGCACTAACCCACCTGGTGCTTTTCTTCATTCCCGGTCAGGGGCCCTGAGAGGACTTGTGGAGAATCAGGGGATACCTGGTCTGACTGGACTCAGGAGCTCAGAGGCCTGGGCCACGTGCCGGCCTGCCCACCCATGTCTTTGGAAGGGCGAGGGCTCCACTGGAGCCGAGATCTCTTCAAGCAGTGCCTGAGAGCGCCCAAGGTCTCCAGCCCCCAGAGCTCACCCATCTCTCCTATCGCCACCCCCGAGAGCCTGTGCGCCCACCTGGCAAGCTGCACAAAAGCCCTGCCTGCCTGGTGAGGCCAGGGCTCCAGCGGTGTTCCATTGTCCCATGGAGACCAGCTCCTCTCTCCACCCAAGGCCCCTCCATTCATGCCCCAGAACTCAGCTGTCCCCAGGCTGCGCCTGGACGTGGTTGGGACAGTATCACTGCGTATGCTAAGACCACCACCATCGTGGAGGGCTGCCTTTGCTGGCACAGGGGACCTCATGAATTCCTCACCACCCCCTAATACCAAAACACCCTTCTTATCCCCATTTGACTGGGCAGCAACCAATCCGAGTCAGTGGCAAGCCTTTGTCCACACGGTTCCATCCACTGGGCACCTTTCCCCTCCAGCTCCAGCTCGCTAAATTCTCCTCAGCTGCAAGACTCTGCTCAGGCAAGTGGGGGCCTCTCCTCAATGCTCCCTAAAAAAAGACACCGTGCTTCCCAACTTACAGGTCCAACCAAGTTCCCTGGTCATCGCTGTCCAATTCAGAGAGTGTGTTCAGGATGCGTTAGTTCTCATTACCATGGTTCTCACCTTCTTACTCAATTCATCTGTCTGCCCCATGAGCCTGTGACAGCGGTTCTCAACCTGTGGGTCGCGACCCCTTTGGCAGTCGCACAACCCTTTCACAGGAGTAGCCTAAGACCATCCTGCATATCAGACATTTACATTATGATTCATAACAGTAGTAACATTACAGTTATGAAGCAGCAACAAAAATAATTTTATGGTTGGGTCACAACATGAGGAACTGTATTTAAAAGGCCAGAAGGTTGAGAAACACTGGCCTGTGAGATCCTTGAGGGCAGAGATCTTCCTCTGCTCAGCAGCCCCAGAGCCTAGAGAAGAACCAGATGCAGTACAGGCACCACCCATGTGGGGTGAATGAATGGGTGAAGCTTTTCTGGACGGTAACACCATTTTCAGAACAGCTGAGTGGGTGGGTGAACAGGAAAATGCTAACATCCCGGGATTGAGGGTGTATAGAAGACTAGTCATTATTTTCTGTTAACTAGGGCCAGATACTTGACATTTGAGACAGATGGACCCAATGCAAGGCTCCTAGATTAGTAAAGCTAGGATGTAGCATAGGTGCGGCCAAGGCCACTCACCCCCTCCAGGGACGGATGGGGCCCATGAAGGGGAAAGGGGACAAGGTGAAGAAGGGAGGAAGCATCCCCCGTTGTGAGCCTGGCACTGCCCAGACTAGCTCCTCACCCACTCAACCCAACCTCCAAGATGGTTGAGGACTTCTTGGAGGTGGTGGCAAAAAAATTGGAAATACTGTGTTTTATAACTTGGTGAATCACAATAATGCAAACAACTGAAACTGGGGAAAACATTGAAAAGGGATACTGAAATTTGACAAAAGTTTGTTTGTGGGGGTGATGCATTTCTGTGTTGATGTTTAAGCACGGAAAAAATGCATTTTTAAAAAGTATAAATGTGGTTAAATATCTAGCTAAGTCAGGCTGTGCCCTGGGCAGTTTAGGAGTGGCTGAAGCAGTACCTGTCCAACCCAGTGCAGCAGGAGTTGTGTTCCTATGATTTGCCACACCTGTGGAAGGGGTTGGGAGAGAGGAAGCAGGACCTGCACCTGTCACAGACGCCCACAGCTGCCTATAGGAAGACACACATACCCACACACACACACACACACACACACACACACACACACTCACAGTGCTGAGAAAAATACTCAGAGCAGAGGCTCTGCCCCAGTCCGAAGGTAAAGGGCAGTCAGGGAAGGCTTCCTAGAGAAGGTGCCAATTGAGCTGAAATTGAAAGGATGACGAGGAGAGAAGGGAGGGGAAGGCATTTCAAGCAAAAGGAGCAAGGCCTCCCCTTTGGTCCCAGAGAGGGAACAAAGTGATTCTCTTTGGTTCCTATCCAAGGCTGGCAGGCAAAGTCAACATTTGTCTCTTTGGTCCTGTAATCGCTTGCCTACCCACCTGACCCTCTGCCTGCAGGCGTGGCTACTAATGGGAGCCACTGACAACAGTACCTATGGATCCGGATATCATAATGTTATGGAAACTTCCAGATAATGTTACCACACGACCCAGCAATTGGTATTGCTCAAAGAAGTTGAAAATGTCTACACAAAAAGCCTGCACACAGAGGTTTGTGGAGCTTTTTTCATAATTGTCAAAACTCAGAGCAGCCAAGATGCCCTTCAATAAGTGTATGGATAAATAAACTGTGGTCCATGCAGGCAACGGCATATTATTCAGCACTATAAAGAAATGAGCCATTGAGTCATGAACTGACAGAGAGGAACCTTAAATGCATGTTACTGCCCAGCTGTAGTGGCTCAGTGGTTGAGCTTCAATCTATGAACCAGAAGGTCACAGTTCTATTCCCCGTCAGGGCACATGCCTCCGTTGTGGGCTCCATCCCCAGTGGGGTTGTGCAGGAGACAGCCAATTAATGATTCTCATCATTGATGTTTCTATCTCTCTCTCTTCCTTCCTCTCTGAAATCAATAAAAATATATATTTTTAAATGCATATTACTAATAAAAGAAGCCAATGTAAAAAGGCTACATACTATATGATTCCAACTATGTGGCATTCTGGAAAAGGCCAAACTGTGAGACAGTGAAAAGATTGGTGGTTGCAGGGAGGAGGAGTGAGGAATGAGGGAGGGGTGAATAAGCAGAGCACAGAGGATTTATAGGGCAGTGAGACTACTCTCTATGATACTCTAACGGCAGATACATGTCGTTACACATTTGTCCAAACCCATTGAATGTACAACACCGAGAGTGAAACGTAACGTGAACTATGGACTTTGGGAGATTGTGATGGGCTGGGCTGAGCTGGGGTTCAGAGATTGGGGTGGGGGTCACGGCTCATAGAAACGAGGGTAGAAGGCACCCTTGAGTCATCTGGTACAGTCATTCCCGTTTCTGGTCAGCAATGCCGAGAAACTGGACACCGGCCACTCGGGTTCCCGGAACACCTGACCCAAATTACCTAGGGATGGGGCTCAAGCTCCTGTATTTTAAGCAATCTTCGTAGGTCATGATGTGTAATTTTTTTTAGGGTTATCACCTAAAGCAGTGGTCGGCAAACTCATTAGTCAACAGAGCCCAATATCAACAGTACTTCTTCAAAATAGACTCCCCCAGGCCGAAAACCGACTTCTGCGCATGGGCCACGAGTTTCAATCATACTGTACGCGCGCCCACACGTGGTATTTTGTGGAAGAGGCACACTGAAGGGGCCAAAGAGCCGCATGTGGCTCTCGAACCACGGCTTGCCGACCACGGACCTAGAGTAAAAAATCCCAACAAAACTACAAGATATGCAATAAAAGAGGAAAGGAAGTGGGGTTTGAGGTCACTGTGCGGCCTTGGATGATTCCTTCGCCTTCTCCAGGCCACAGGCTCCCCAGACTTCCCAGCAAGGAGGTTACACCGAAGAACTCTCAGCGCTCCTCTGGCTTTGCTGTCTGTGATATTTCGAGTGTCGTGTGTGACTCTCCGGCAGCCACCAGGAGGGAGGAGGCCCAGTGAATGTTCAAAACCACGAGTGAGGACTGTTGTGGGTTTCAGCGGCAGGAATTCAATTCATAAGGGCCTGAGCAAAAACGAAAAAAGGGGGCGGGGGAGAAATGTATTTGACCTGAAAAGTCTGGGGTATATACGACTTCAGGCACAGCTAGATCCGGGCACGCAAATGATATCTTTTCTCATTCCCTTAGTATTGGCTTTGTTTTCTAGTGGGCTTTAGATAACTGTGTCTAAAGTCTCTAAGAGGAAAAAGAAAAACAAAGCAGAACCAGCAATCTGGAGAGACCCAAATCCACCTTTGCTGGTAGTGAGCTCTTTCATTCAGAAGAGTGGCAACCTGGTCTCCATGATTCTGTACAAAGTTCTGCTCCTTTAGGCAGCAGATGCATCTTCATCTGAGTCTAGCTTGCACTGTCATGCACATGTGCACGTATGCACATGTGTGCTGTATGTGTGTGGACATGCACACATACATATGTGTAGGCATATACACGCTTATTTAAGAGTTGTACACACACTATTGGGAGTAGGATCTGGAGGACTGCGGGAAGAAGGGGGTATGGTTTCTCCCCACTTTGGGAGATGTAGTCTAGTGTAGGTCAGACTTGGGGGCCCCCAAATGCTTTAGCAGAGAGGGGCCCTCAAGGGTGTGGCAAAGTCCTGTCTTCGTGTGTGCTGGGGGGATGGGGGTCCCTGAGACTATGGCTCCTTAGCAGCATCTGTGAGCTGCATATGAGAGTTCAGGCTCCTGTGCTCACCCTCCTGCCTTTGTGCCATCCACTAGCCCAGCGGTTCTCAACCCGTGGGTCGCGACCCCTTTGGGGGTCGAACGACCCTTTCACAGGGGTCGCCTAAGACCATCGGAAAACACATATATAATTGCATATTGTGTTTGTGATTAATCGCTATGCTTTAATTATGTTCAATTTGTAACAATGAAATTGGGGGTCACCACAACATGAGGAACTGTATTAAAGGGTCGCGGCATTAGGAAGGTTGAGAACCACTGCCCTAGCCCCACACCCAGGAGACAAGTTACTGTCACCTCAGAGCTTGGCCGTGCAAGGTGGCCAATGGCATGGGGAAAGCTGGCTGTGGTCCAGGTGTGGTTCATGCTGAGAATCAGCACCTAGCGCAAGTCTCTGCAGCCCGGCCATGGCCAGCCAGGCGTAGTTGGGGTCTTGGGAGGTGGGGAGGGGGAGGAAAGGAAAGAGATAGGAAACCCGAGGGAAAGATATCCATGTGGGGCAGCTAGACTCAGGTAGAAGAAACTAAAAAATGCAACAATGGTCTTTCAACAATAGACCAAGGAAATTTAGGATCACGGTTTACAGTCAGGCCACGTCCCACAAGAGCCAGTAGTCACCTCCTCCAATTTCTGAGCATCTCAGGTGATGGGGATCTTGCCACCTTCCCAGGTAGGGCCTGGTCTTATCGGATGCCCCAGGGAAAGGTTTAGAGCATTCTAGAGACAGGTCAGAGCCTTTGAAACCCACATTTGAGGAAAGCCTCAGAGCACAGGGTGGTAACAATTTGCTGAGGGCAATGAACACGTTTTTTAACAAAATCACATTGTGGCCTGGTTGGTGTGGCTCAGTTGGTTGAGTGTCGTCCCATGGAACAAGAGGTCGCAGGTTTGATTCCCGGTCAGGGCACATGCCCGGGTAGTAGGCAGCTTGCAGGAGGCAGCCCATGGACATTTCTCTCTCACTGATGCTTCTATCTCCCTCTCCCTTCATCTCGCTCAAAAATCAATAAAAACATATTTTAGCTGAAACCGGTTTGGCTCAGTGGATAGAGCGTCGGTCTGCGGACTGAAGGGTCCCAGGTTCGATTCCAGTCAAGGGCATGTACCTGGGTTGCGGGCACATCCCCAGTAGATGTGCAGGAGGCAGCTGATCGATGTTTCTCTCTCATCGATGTTTCTAACTCTCTATCTCTCTCCCTTCCTCTCTGTAAAAAATCAATAAAATATATTTTTTAAAATACATATTTTAAAAAATGAAATTGTGGTGATGTTCTGTGAAAGAAGCAATCAAGGAGCTGAGGTGGTGATAATGGGGAGGCGCCACCTCATGTGGGCAGTGAGAGCGGTTCTGAAGAGGTGACATCAAGAGCTGGGAGCAGCTGGAGAGGAGAGTCATGGGCAGAGAGAATGGCTTATGCAAAGCCCAAAGCAGGAAAGAGGTCAGAACCTTCTGGAATAGAAGGAAGAGAGGTAGGGGCCAGCAGGGACAGGTAGGAGATGAGTTTGGAGAGACAGTGACCAGATGACACAGGCTCCTGTAGGGCACGGTAGGACTTGGGTTTAAGCTGAGTGACACACCTGCTGCTGCATTGAGAGGAGAGTGGATGGAGCAAGTGCTCCAGGGGTGAGGCTGGTGGGTGTGTCTCCTGACACTGGCTGTGCCACCTCAGGCGCGGTGCTTAACCTTTCTGGGCTGCACTGTTGCCCACACATGGGGGTAACGGGAGGCAGATTTTGTTCACTCTCAGGAGAAACTCTAACTAGATGGAACAGGCAATCTTAAGAGGTAGTGAGCTCCCCATCATTGCAAACATTTGAACCGAGGCTGGCTCCACCATGAAAGCACTTGGGCGCCAGAGGATTGGGTAGAGTGGCCTTTCTGGTTGCTGACCCTGACCTTCTGTGGACCACAATTCTGGTCTCATTTTTGTCCTTGTCTTGCTGGGTGACCTCAGGCTGGTTACTTCCCCTCTCTGAGCCTCAGTTTCCAAATGATGACAGAAATAGGCTGATGATCACTATAGATTCCCCACCAGCAAATTCTCTAATTTGTCTATTCTCAGTCTTCACCTTACCCCCCACTCACAAAGGCCATCGTCTTGGCAGCTGGAGACTCCATGAGAGCCTGGTCTTAGTCTTGGCAGAAAGTCCTCCCAAAGCCACACATGTCAATCCCAGCATCCTGGGTGGACTTTGGGTTGGAAGTCTCTCTGCTCATCCCGGACAGGGGTTGTTATTTTCTTTGGCGTCTCCTCAGATGGCCCCAGAAACAGGACTTGCTTCCATGGGCAGCCTCCCATTCTGTGGCTACCAATATAAGGGCCACCACCACCCAGAAGAATCCCAGGAGACCGTGCAGGAGAACAAGGATTCGCGATCATCCTCCTCCAAACCCGTGAGTGGTGGGCTTCCTCTGACCACACCCCACACAATGGTCTTCAGAAGGCTTTGGGGGCTAGAGACAGAGGACTAAGACAGCTTGGATTCGCTAATATGTTGAATATAGAAAATTAAGAGATAGATAGATAGATAGATAGATAGATAGATAGATAGAGTGTCAAACTGATGGGCAATGCAGGGTCATGAGATAGCGCCCATTTATTTGTTCATACTTTTATTCGGCAAAGAGTTATTCGTTGAACGGTCCTGACTACAGGGACTTTATGGGGGCTGAGGATTTGACAGGGAAATGTCACCATTCCTCGTCTAAAGAGTTCACAGGCTGGTGATAGAGGCAGACAGGTCATCAGGTAATTGGCACCCAGGACTCTGATCAGAGAACGAATGCAGAAGAAACGGTGGGGTGAAGCTCCCTAACCTAGACTCTGGGGAGGGGCCTACAGCAGGCTCCCTAGAGGACACGATGTCTTACTGAAGCCAGAGAGACAATAGGTTAAAAATGCAAAGAAGAGGACAGATGTTCCAGGCAAAGAAGCCAGCATATGGCAGAAACCCTTTTGTAAAGATCATGAATTTGTAGTCAAGTGTGACTTCTCAAATTGCAGCTGGTCCACTCACTGGCTGTGTGTTTCTGGGCAAGTTGCTCTAGCTTTCTGAGCTGGGCTGCCCATCTGTAAAACAGGAGACAGCCACCTCTATCTTAAAGGAATGTTAAGTGAAAGAGGGGGGCTGCTCATTGAAAACTCCTTTTCCCTCTGGGTAATTCTCACTCCTGTTTCTCCTATGAATGTCCAGGTGTCAGCACAAGATGTTTCAGCTTTGGAAACTTGTTCTCTTGTGTGGCCTGATCTCTGGGACCTCAGCAGGTATTATTCACTCACTTGGCAAAGGCGTGGGTAACATTGTAGACGGCCTGAGACCTGCTATTGATAATAGACTTAGGGACATTAAATGTGAGTCAGTAAGGGTGATGATAGGCGGCACCCAGAACCTGTTTCCTAAACATTATGCTGCATTTCCAGGGGCTGCCACCAGGGGCTGCCCTTTAGGGATGGTTTACTAGGAAAGGTGGTTAGTCACTTCCTGGCTCATTTACTAACTTACTTACTTACTTACTTACTTATTTATTAAAATTTTTATTGATTTCAGAGAGGAAGGAAGAGGGAGAGAGAGATAGAAACATCAATGATGAGAGAGAATCATTGATTGGCTGCCTCCTGCATGCATCCTACAGGGAATTGAGCCCACAACCCAGGCATGTGTCCCAACCTGGAATGGAACTGTGACCTCCTGGTTCATAGGTCGATACTCAACCACTGAACCACTCTGGCCAGGCCATTAATTTTTTTCTATAAACAAGCAATGCTTAAATGAATATCCTTGTACATATTATATCATGTTTCTAGTCTATACATAGCATAAGTTCCTAAAAGCGAGATTTCAAAAGTTCAAAGGATATTTCACTCTATTCCCTTGATGGCCCTGGTATGGACAACTTAAATGTTTTGCCAGACTCATAAGATGAAAGACTCTAACGCCTTTCACTTTAAAGTTCTCTAATTATAAAAGAATCCACTCATTTTTTTCATATTTTAATCTTTTTATATATTTTAACTTAAGTATTTTGTTCATATCCTTAGCATATTAGTCTGTTGGGTTGTTTACTTTTCTTATTGATTTGTATTAACTCCACCTACCATAGGTAGCTATATGCCTATTTTTATAGTTAATTGAATCTCCTTTTAATTCTGATTTCTCAAAAGAACTTGGCTTTCTTTTTATTTTCTGGAAAGTTAACAGCACATTGACAAACATTTTTATAGGAGTTAGTCACTTCTGTAAATGACTGCCTTTCAAATACTGTCAGGCAATTTTCAAAGATATGGAAGGGACCCCATCTTTAATTTCACTGCTGAGAAAACTAAGCTCAGAAACAGAAGTGTCTGAGTTAAGGTCACCTAAGACCAGACATAGTTTTATTTATTTATTTTATTTCTTGATTGGGGTTATACAGGTTTCAGGTGCACAATTCCACAACACATCATCTGTACACTGTACTGTGTATTCACCACCCCAAGTTCAGTCTCCTTAGCTCCATAGTTTTATTTATGTTGGCATTTTTTGTTTGCATCATTGTAACCAGGTAGATACTGTCCATTGCATAGCCAAGTTGAAGTACTATGATTACATACCTCCTCCAGTACATTCTTTTGTTTTTCCTTGAGTTAGTAATTGCCTTGCTGTTTTTCACTTGAAATATTTTGCACACATATCCTTAATTCTTCTCATATACTGCATTCTACATCTGCCATGTCATTTATTCTATTAATCCCTCTTTTCACTAGGGACCTCCTATTAAGACACTTTGTCATCCTGCTCCTGTGTGAATTATTGCTCTCTGGGCCTGCTGCAAAGCTCTCATCCTGGGATTCCAATTTGTCACTTTTATAGGTTGAAGTCATATTTTTTCCTTAATTCTAGATTTTCCATATCTTTGTTTATTGACCTACTTTTTCAAACTTATGTAGACATCTCATTTAGAGCAATAGACACCCCCCACCCCCGCCCATCACTACTAGAAGCAGGTGTATAATCCTTATCAATTGCCTGGTCAATTGCTTGGTTGGTTTGTTGATTAAAAATGAGTATATATTAGTATGAAGACAGCATGGAAGGAAGAGGGGCTCTGTAGCTGTATGTCTTCAGGCATGTTTCTTAAACTTTTCATTCTTATTTCCTCATCTGTAAAATCCAGATACTGTCGATATCTACCTCATTGAGTTGTTATGAAGATTAAAGGAAATAACACAGGCAGTCTTTTCTAGTACCTGGTGCATAGTAGCAGCTTCATAAGTGGTACATAACACTAAATAGCAATTGTTTTTGCCAGGTATTCTTCAGAACCTGAAGGAGGACTTGAACCTGCTTCGGGATACCAATCGGTGGCAAGCCATCCAGGACAAGTTCTACCAAACTAAAGTTGTGTTGAATGATGCCCTTTCTAAAACAATTGAGAGCATTGCTTTGGGGTGAGTTGGTGCTTCCTGGTGGAGATCGTTGCTGAAAAAAAAAAAGGGAGGGGAAAATGCATGTCTTTTGGGGAGGGGTGTAAATTTCATGTTAAAGGCAGAAAGGCAACACAACTTGTTCTTCCCACAGAGCCCACGTGGTCTGAGGCCAGGCCCACCAGAGCCTGAGTAAATTAGAGGCAGGGCCACATGACCAATCTGAGCATCACATGAGTTTCAGCTTCCACATCCTGTAATTTCAGGGTCAGGGGGAAGGTTCTCTTCACTCTCACCTCCACCTGTTTGCTGGTGCCTGGATTCCCTTTTCCAGGGAATGAGACTCTCCTCTCTAAATACAGCTGAGAATAAACTTTCAAATCCCCTCAGGAGAGAGGATACTGAAATCCATGCCCGCTGGCTCCACACAAAGAATTTTGGAGTCAAAGAGTTGTGAGTTCAAATTCTGGCTCAGGCAATTGCTCTTCCTTGGTATCTTGGGGGAATCACAGCTGCTGGTCCTCAGTGTGCCACGCCATAGAATGGAGACAATCAACCTCTGAGGAGGGCTATGGGAAAGACCAAAATAGGCAAGGCTGATGAGGCCCAAATGCTCAGCATCATGCTGCAGAGAGAAGAGCTCAGCAAATGGCTGTCATGAGGAATGACAAGGGTGAATTCTGGTTGTCGCACAGGTTGAAAATCAGTAATGTCCACATCTTGAATTTCAAAGCCGAACCAACTCCTGATGGCCAAGGCGTTCAACTGAGGTTCCCCACATCTGCTGATGTCTCCTTGACCCTGTGAGTATGCATTAGAAGCTGGGAATTGAGGCGGGGGGTGGGGGGCAGTGCAGCACAGCCAATGGTCCTCCAAGCTAGAACCAGGCACTTTTCCACACCACTTAGTGGCCTTGGGCCTCGGTTTCCCCATCTGTAAATAAGGGAGCTTTTCTAGCTCTAAAATCCTAACCTTTAAAAAGTTCTAATAAACTTTGGCCATAACCAAGTCTCTCTTAAAAGAATTCTCCATTAAATATATTTCTGGAATTATAACATTTATCTAATAGTAAAATTTGCAAAAATAAATAGGTCAAACATTAACAAGTCTTTGGCAAAATTTTCTCTAGCATTATTTTGTCTCTCAAGATTCTCTTTAAATAGCAGTGACCATTACAGATAAATGCATATAATAGTGTATAGCTTGTAATAAAGGGCATATGTGAAAAATGAAATTTTATTTTTTTAATTTATTTTTTATTGAACTTATTGGGGTTACATTGGCCAATAAAATTATATAGGTTTCAAGTATACAATTCTACAATACATCATCTGCACATTGCATGGTACGCTCACCATCCAAAGTCTAGTCTCCTTCCATCACCATTTATCCCCTCTTTACTCTCTTCTGCCTCCCCGAAGCCCCTTTCCCTCTGATAACAGATAACAGATACTGTTATCTGTTTCCATGAGTTTTGGGTGTTGTTTTTTTTTGCTTAAC